GGCACATACTTGGTATTTCAAGAGCTCTTTATATACTCTCTCTCTCTCTCTCTCTCTGTCACACACACACACACACACACACACACACACACACACACACACACACACACCCAAGGACGCATAATCAATTTTCCCTTCAAAGAAAAAGAAAAATGATGGCATTTTGATACAGCAGGAGAGTCCAGGGCACATACTTGGTATTTCAAGAGCTCTTTATATGGTCACTTGCTTTTTATTTTGTAGTTTTACAGAAGTTAACCTAGAGGAAGAAAGAACGCTTTTCCAGAGCTGCCCCCACGAACTCCAGGGAGCATCCAGCTGGACACCTAGCACACCTAAAGCTCTGGTTCAGCTCGCCCCACGTGTGCCTGAACTCACCGTCTCACGGCTGGGGGCTGCGGTCACTGCCACCCAGGGGACATTCGCTGACCAAGTGATGCTCTCAGCCCACGTGCCGCTCAGCTGGGGATGTTTCCAGGAGCTATTTTCTTAGCTGAGCATTCTTTACCAAAGCTGTGAGTCATAAGACTTTATGTGCAGCCTTTCAGGTCTCTGAATGACTCAGTTTTCCATGAGTGTCACTAAACGGTGGAACAGTGAGTGAAAAATGTACATTGTTCATAAATAACTCTTCCTCATTCATAAAAATAAAGAGCCAGAGTTCGGCACTGTTTTTTCTGCACAGCTCGTATCCAACGACCTCACGAATTTCTCTAAACCTCGAGGGTGACAAAGCCCTTTGGAATCCAGTGCTGTGAACACTCAGGGCTTGTGAACAGCCGCGCCGAGTCCTTTCCTCCCTGACCCGGGGTGGAGCGGAGGCCTCAGCCTCACAGGGAGTGGACAGGTAGGAAAACCCAGGAGCCAGCACCTATCAAGAAAGCTGTTTGCTGAGTTCGAGTTCTTATCCGGTGGGTTGTGCCAGAGACAAGGTGATTTTCACGGGAGGGGGTGAGTCACCTGCACCCACTGTACAGGTGGCAGATGTTCATTTCATGCACCTGGAGATTCCTAGGGACCCTCAGGAGCAGCGTTGCCTCTTGTCCCGAAGGCGCCTGGTGCAGCACGACTTCTGGCCCCTGGGTGTGTCCCCAGGGATGACAGTGAGCCTTCTGCTGCCAGGGGCGCCCAGTGGGAAAACTGACAAAGCAGCCAGCGTGCTGTCACCCCAGGGATCTGTCCGAATTTAGGGACACGAGCTGCCCAATAAGCCCCCTCCCCACCGCCTCCCTCCTCCCTCTTCTTGCTTCTGTCAACACTCAGCCATGAAGAAGGAAAGAAGATGGATGCACGGTCAAGCCGGGCCCAGTCCCCTCAGCCTTGTGCCTCCTGCGACCATATCAACGGCAGGAAAACCCGAAGAGAAAAGAGGAGACCTAAGCACACAGGGAGCCCAGGGCCCGAGCAGGCCCCGCTTGCCTCAGAGATGAGGCTGACCCCCCGGATGGACAGGGGAAAGTCCTCCGCAGAAAAACACTGTCCGGTTAAAGCAGAGGAGGGGACAAAGAGCCATTTTCATTGACTTTTTTCTGCAATCAAAACATTCAGACACTTGC